GACATTGGGATTTGGGTTTATGGGGACATGGAGACATGGGGACTTTGGGATTTGGGTTTATGGGGACACCAGGACATGGGAATATGGGGACATTGGGACATGGAGACATTGGGATTTGGGTTTATGGGGACATTTGGACATGGAGATGTTGGGATTTGGGTTTATGGGGACATTGAGACATGGAGACATTGGGATATGGGGACATTGGAATGGAGGAATGTGGGGACAGTGGGACATAAAGACATGGGGACTTTGGGATTTGGGTTTATGGGGACACTGGGACATGGAGCCATTGGGATTTGGGTTTATGGGGACATTGGGACATGGAGCCATTGGGATTTGGGTTTATGGGGACCTTTGGACATGGAGACACTGGGATTTGGGTTTATGGGGACACGGAGACACTGGGATTTGGGTTTATGGGGACATTGGGATCATGGAGACATTGGGATATGGGGATATGGGGATATTGGGATGGAGGATTATGGGGACATTGAGACATAAAGACACGGGGACTTTGGGATTTGGGTTTATGGGGACATAGAGACACTGGGATTTGGGTTTATGGGGACATGGAGACACTGGGATTTGGGTTTATGGGGACATTGGGATGGAGGAATGTGGGGACAGTGGGACATAAAGACACGGGGACATTGGGATTTGGGGATATGGGGACATTGGGATGGAGGATTATGGGGACATTGAGACATAAAGACACGGGGACTTTGGGATTTGGGTTTATGGGGACACCAGGACATGGGAATATGGGGACATTGGGACATGGAGACATTGGGGTTTGGGTTTATGGGGACATTGAGACATAAAGACACGGAGACACTGGGATTTGGGTTTCTGGGCACACTGGGGCCCTCAGGTTGCACCCAACCCCCCCAGACCATTTACCCCATGTCCCCCCCCCAAAAAAAGGAGCCTCCTGAACAAACCCAAGAGCGAGATGACGCCGGAGGAGCTGCAGAAGCGCGAGGAGGAGGAGTTCAACACCGGGCCGCTGTCGGTGCTGACGCAGTCGGTGAAGAACAACACGCAGGTGCTCATCAACTGCCGCAACAACAAGAAGCTGCTGGGCCGCGTCAAGGCCTTTGACAGGTCGGGGAGGAGGGGAAGCACTTCCGGGGGTCACGTGTGGGGGCACTTCCGGGGTCACTTGTGGTGTCATGTGGGTGTTTGCATGGTAGTATGGGGGGACTTCCGGTGTTGCGTGGTCTGGCTCTGTTGTCGCATGTAACTACTTCCGGGGTCATGTGGAGGTACTTCCGGGGTCACGTGGGGGTGGCACTTCCGGGATCAGTTTGTGGCGTCACATGGGTGTTTGCATGGTCATATGGCGGAACTTCCGGAGTCACGGAGTCTGGCCCTGTTGTCGCGTGTAACTACTTCCGGGGTCATGTGGAGGTACTTCCGGGGTCATGTGGGTGGGG